CGTCTGCCAATAATTGTCCATAAAAGATCCCCTCCTTCTTCCCTTTCTTCCTTCTGACTTCATAGGTGAGGTCAGCGGCTCGTGAGGTCACTTGCCCCCCTGCCCTGGTAGGTAGGCTTTAAAATGATTAGGGCCACAGGTTAAACCTAATTCACCCTAACAGCAGCCCTAGTTTGGGGGAAACCAAGGTTGCCAGCAAGTAAGAGAAGAAAGTTACACAAAATACAAGTATATATATATTTTTTGCAACAAAAGAAACTATTTATTTGGAATATGCATTACCAGTACAAATTAGGAGACTGCAAAACCTACACCATGTTAGTATCATTAGAGAACACAAAAGTTCAGTTGGAATCAAAAGGGACAGAAGCCTGTGCTCTCACAGAAGCAGAAAAGCTTAAACTTTCAAAACCAAAACAGAGCAGAACTTTGCAGGTTTATACTCTGAGTAATAAGAACAGGGGAGGGGAGCGGGAGAATAAAACCAACAACCGAAGGAAAGCACTTCAAAATAATTGGAAAAATAAGGAAGTAATAAGAGAGAAAAGGGGGAAAACATTGAATGTTTTATTCATTTTAACAAAAGGGGGAAAAAAAGTTTACAAAAAATAAAAGATTCCAGAAAGCTTTGAGCTGGGTGTTGAAACTATGAAGGTGATGTGAAAAGCTCGTCACTGTTTTGTTGACTCAGGAACAGGCGGACAGGTGTCTGGGCAGAAACACCTGCAACGCGCTGTCCCACGGTCTTGCATCTTCCCCTTCGCTTCTCCTGCTTATGTTCTAGGTGCTTTCTGGACACTTCCATCTTTTGTTTAATGAAAGATGTTTAAGGTAAGTTTCTTCCAGAAAATACTGCTTTCTTTTCTCCCATGACTAATAAAAACATTCCAAATCAAGCCGGTTTAACCATTGGCTTTTTAGCAGCCCGAGGGTAGTAAGACGTATGCTGTCAAGGCATCAAACTTCACCTCGCAGCATTAAAAGGAGAGCCCCGAGTCAGCCTCAGTTTCTCAACTCTTCATCCAACATCGGGGCTCAAGGGCTTAGCAGGCCGACTGATCCCAGGGACAGCCTCCAGGATCTAGTCTATGGAGCCCATGCCCCATGACACTAGGACGTCTGTGGGATGCTTCTGGAAGAAAAAAAATCCTCTCTCATTGTAAGAGGGCTCCCGGAATGTTGTTATTAAACAAGAAGAAAGAAAAGAAAGCACTTCGTCATGACGTTCATGGTCAACAAAGGCAAAAAGTCTCTTCTACCGTATCAAAGGTCTCTCGGGACAGTTCCTTGAATTTTTAAAGGGCCGAAAGGAGAACCCAGGTCCCTGTGTTTTTTTTTTTCTTTTTTCTTTTTTCAGGGACTGCAGAACTGCCACACACTCTGGAAATGCAGGTGAGTAATGGGCCATCCGCTCGGGCTTCATCTTTGTCTCTGAAGTCAACTGAATTCTGGAGCAAAGCAGAAGTACAAGGAAACCCACCTACTCTACAAATGTCATCTTTTCACATCACCTCATATACATTACGTAAGGAATAAAAACAGCAAGATCATAATCCTGACAATTAAAAAAAAGCCCCCCCCAATAAAACAACCCAAAGTAACACAAAACATATTTTTTTTTTTTATATTTTAAAGAGCAGAAATAAAGAAAGAAAAGAATTTATTTCTGGGTCTCAAAGTTAATAAACATAATGTGTTAGGTTGTACCTATTATGCTCACTATCCCAACCTTTTTTTTTTTTTAGTTTACAAAATGAATTACCGTCACTTTTAAACATTGTGAAACAGGAAATGAATGTGCACAACTCGACACTTTTCTAGCATTCTTGAACTAATTCACAAATGCAAGAAAATAAAAGAAAAATGGGGAAATGATTCATGTAGGTAGTTTGGTGTTAAAAACGAATGCAGGAATGATGTGTATTGTCACAGAAAGAAGAGGGGGAGCCCCCCCATCCTGTTTTGCGTGCTATGAGGGTCATTTTTAAAATTTTTATTATAAACACTATTAAATTCAGACCGCTTTTTTGGTTTTTTTTTCTTTATCTGAATATACAAGAACATTCATTATCAAATGTTCATCATCAATACTACAAAGAACGAGACACAAGTCGCAAGAAACAATGGAAAATGTTAATAAAGCTGAAAGAATTGTTGAGTATTTTTTTGTATTTTTTTAAGTTTTTTTTAAATTTGAGTTACTGTAGTTTCATCTTTTTTGGTATCGAAGTCAGGTTTTTCTGGGCAGAAAAATAAAACTCAGAAGGAAAAGGTGGGGGGGAAGGTATGTGAGAGAAGGCAACCAGCAAATAAAGAACCACCACCACAGCAAAATTTAAAAAAAGAAAAAAATAAAGTCAATGTAAGGAAGGTGCCACTTGGCAGAAGTACTGCACAGGCATCGGCTCCACGCCAGGGGGAAGAGTTAGGGGTGAAAAGGAGGATGAGATAGAGAGTTACAAGGTGGGCAATCCCAAGGGCTAGTATTACTCAGGGGAAATCGGCTGCCAGGGACAACGGGGAGTTCCCACTCCCATTAGAAAATGCAGGAGGCCTGGGGTACATTTTGGTATCTGTAGGATTGACCGAATAGGAATTCCCAGGGAGCTGTACTTCCAGAGGCATGCTCTTTCCATCCCCTTCCTTCTGCTGCCAGAGTTCCCATGCTTTGCTTACTGTCAGAGGGATCTGGTGGCTGCCATGTTGGATGTGATGGTGGGCGTGGGGGGTGGGAACTGGAACAGAGAGGTCTGAGTGGGGAGGGAAGATGCTGGGCGAGGTGAGAATCCGTGCAAACTCCTTCGGGGAGAGAAACTGTCTGTACAAATGTAGCTCTGCTCTGGTCTGTTTCATCAACTTAAAATGGCAACCATTCAACCCAAATCTGGAATCCTTCTTCCTGTTGCCAAGAGAACCGTTCCGGGTCCCTTCTGTACCTTGTGTGGTCAGGCATGTGATCCAGCCATGCTCCTGTGTGCCCCTGACACTGAGCAAGGTTCTCCACTGCTTCTACGACTACAGAGTTGTCACAAGATGGATCCTGCCAGGAAGACCCTCTACTGAGCTCTGCTGTGATTGGGGGCACAGGTCAGTAGACAAAGCCTCTCCACTGTTCTTCGTCATCAAGGCATAATTCCATCTTGCCAAAGACTTACTTTTTGCCTTTCCTTCAAATTCACACACCTTCTGTTTTCTTAGGTATCCCCTCTCCCCAGCATATACACAGGAGCAATTTCTGTTCATTACTGTAGCGCCATGCACCATTTCCATGACCTCGTTAGTGGGCCACCCTTCCCCCTCAGCGTCCTCTCTCTCACCCACAGGCCTCTCAAGCAGAGTAGATGGGACAGGGGGCTAAGCACTTACAAGGCCACATACTGGATTCAAGTACAAACTAAGAGAACTGGGTCCTATTTTTCTAGTGTGGAGGCTTAGCTCTAGTCTATGAAACCAAACCGACCAAAACAAACAAAAAAGCAACAGTAATACCCCTTCTTCTCTTTGTCATCACAGCAATGACATCAGGGTATTGATGGTAACCCAAAGCTGGAACAGGAAAACCATTATGTTGCCCCGCCATGGCACAAACCCATTTGTCTCAGGGATGACACTTCCCCTGACTTCCCATTTATGGATGGGATATGAATGAAACTAATTCCTTCAGTCTCTCACCAGCCTCTTGGTAAGCCAGGCATCATAATCCTCATTTTACAGATGAACAAAATGAGGCACGGAGAGATGTGACCACCTCCCATCATAGTCGGGTTACAGAGCCACCATCTTCTTCACTGGGGCAGCTGGCCATGAGGACGGTAAGCTCAGGTGACACTACAGAACGGTTTTCTAGTACTCTCCTCTCGGATATTCCAAGGAAATGAAAGTCACTGTGACAATTTCACTCAAAACATTACTTCCCCCTTTCGAAATCCATCGCTCCCAGATCTTCAAATGAAGCTAGCAAAATCTGCCTAAGCTGCGATCTTCTCCAACCCTTCTGGAACAAGAACGTGGTGCCATGTTAACACTTTGAATAATTAATGCAACGCCCCCATAGAAAACCAAAAAATGGAATAGACCCAAATCCGTTACAGACATCGTAAGTACTAGGTGTGGCTCCCTGAGCGCTCCAGAGGTGGCAGGAACAGAACAGCCTCCATTATGATGGAGTCCTATGGATGTCGTTCTGGTGTGTGGGCATGCTGGGGGGCTACAGGTCCCAGAAGCCCCAGCACATACTGTGTCTCTGCGCCAGTGACCTTCACTCAGAGTTGCTAATTCCCTCTCCTGGGCTCACAAGGCAAATTGCTGGTTATTAATGTGGGTCTTTGCATGTGGCACGAGTGATTGGGAGAAAATGAATGTGTGAGGCCGTGCATGTGCTGGCATGTGCCTGAGCGTGCGTGTGCACGTGTGTGTGTGTGTGTGTGTGTGTGTAGGATTAGTTGAAGGGCTGCAGATTAAGAACTTTCTACTCCTTAGTGGTTCATCACCGTGCCCACTCAGATCTGGCTTTGCAGTAGGTTCTGGACATTGCTTAGTAGGTGTTGCATGGTCTCCAAAGACTGTGCCTCTGAAACCAAGAGCTGTTAGGAGAAGGAGGAAGCCTCCAAGAATTCTGCCCTTCTTGTTGCTTACGTCCTCTCCTGAGGCTAGACTTCCTGCCTCGGAATCCACCTAGTGGAGCTGAGACTAGAAAACATGGCACCTTTAGAAACCCAGCTATGGCAGTCCCTGGGGCACAGCTTGGGCTGGGAAGGAAGAGGAGGAACTGTTCTAAGCAGAACCAGCCCAGGGAGGGAAGAGCAAGAGGGGGCAGGGGGCCTGGAATGAGTGGGGCAATGTGGCGCATTCCTGCTAAGAGGTAGTGAGAGTAAGAAGAGAAACAAGAGAAGGGCTGCCTGTTAACAGAGGGAGCGAGGGATCCGAGTGAGGTAAATTTGGCTCCTCAAACCACCAGCATGAAAACGTACAAACACATTTATTATTTTCTTTGTATTTTCTTTCCTCTTTAAATTCCTCTAATTGTTGAAAATATCTTTCCGTGATGTCATAGAGGGCAGGGACCCAGGGAGTCTAGGACAGAGGAGGGAGGGGACAGGAAAGATGGCGGACACCAGGCTGACAGCTGGAGGCAGGGAGGGTGGCTTCTACCCAGAAAAAAAAGGGAAGAGAGTATAAAGAAGTGTCCAGATTGGCTGAAATAGCATCCCAAAGAAGAGAAGAGAAGGAGACTCTTATTGTGTTTGCTGATTGCTTCGACCTCCAGTCTGACCGCTTCAGCGTTGGGAGAGAAACCCTCCCTCCTGGCCCTGTCCCGACTGGGGCACAGGGTCAGCCGGGATGCGATTGCTGGGAGATCAGTTGGAGGTATCAGAGTGAACACTGCCAGGGCCTTCTGTAGGGGAGGTCACTGATGAAGGGGTAGTAGCATCCTGCCAACCTCCATTAGCCTAGAAGGGAAAAAGGGAGAGAAGTCAGTTCTCTGAGATCGGGTGGCCATTTTGAGCAGACAATGACAACAAGGCAACTTGTGTAATGGGCCTACCACAGTGCCTGGCACATGGGGACACTTCTCGGCTGGGCAGCTGTTCTTGTGGTTGATTATACTCCCTCCACCCCTCAGATGAGTATGGGTCCTTCCAGTGAGCCTTTGGACCCAAGGTTAATACCTCCCACTTCTCAAAGATACTCTGAGTCAATCCAAGCTGTTGGATGATCATTGTGTGTGCTCTAGAGGCATGACAGGTCAAGGGACCCAAGTTCTAGTTCTGAGTCTGGCAAGGACTAGCTGTTGACTCTGGCGAAGCATGTCCACCTCACTGGCCTTTAGTTCTCCTTTAGAAAAATAAAAAGGGTGTCCAAATGCTTTCTAAGGCCTTTCCCTACTGTTCCGTATGTTACATGATTCCAGGCACTTGTTTTGTGGAAGGTTCTGTACTAGTTGCTCCTGGGCATACCATGATGAGTGAGACAGTTCATGTCCTCAAGGAGGGGGATAAGACATGCATATGAATGAACTATATTTCAAGGCAGAGCCTAATAAATGGTACAGTCCCACTGTTATGGCAGTTCAGGGAAGGCTATTGCCTCCCATCTTGGTGGAACATCAGGGAAAGCATCAGGGAAAAGGTACTCTTTGAGGTGGGCCTTGAAAAGTACAGAAGGTAACTCAGGTGACTCAAACAGGTGAAATGGAGGTGGACTAAGGGCAGCTCTGCATAAATACATCTAGAGAGGTGGTGAGCCAACAGATCGTTTTTTCCAAGACTCCAAATCCAGAAGCATCCAAACAATGGGATTGTTCAAAAGGATTTGTTTTAACAAACACCCCTAGCTGAAAATATCCCACCATTAAAATAGCTGAAGAATGATTTGTTAGAGTGGTCAACTCATGACACATAATTCATGATTGTTTATGTATTTTAAAGCATCGAAACAGAAGTGTGCTAAAATGCCTTTATCCCCCCTAGTTGTGTTCCTTTGAAGTTAATATACCTCACCTCTGAAAATGTTAATGGTGAACAGACCAGGTGTTAGGCATTCCTGGTAAATCATTTTCCACTGTACTCTCCACTCATTTGATTCCCTTAAATACTTAGGGTATATGGGGCAGGTTATATTCTTGCCATTTGGGAGGGACCACAGCTTGTGCTCTAGAAAATTCCACGGTACCGAGGCACATGCTTGACACCTAGGTGATGGAAACCTGTGTTCACGTTTCCTTCATAAGAAAGCAGAGATGCGAGAGAGAAAAGCAGGCATCTGGGTTATGACTGAGAAACACAGGCTTCTGAACCTCTGAATCTGGGCTCCTTTTTCTCCGCCCTTCTCATCCACTTAGCTTTTTTTTTTTTTTTTTCTCCCACTGGCTCACCCGCATGATGCTCCAATCTCCCCTGGAAAGCCAGGTGCTGAATGCATAGCAGCTCCCACCAGTTACCTCTGCACAAGGATAGTTTTTATCTTTTTTTTTCCCCCACACCTCACTAAGGAGCAGGTCTGGATACCAAGAGCACAAAGGGTCATCCTGGGAAATGCCAAGGGCATTCTGCCTCTATCAGGGGCCCAAAAATAATTGCTCGGAACTCCAAAGCTCCATCTCCCAAAGGAGTCAAGCAGCTCCTCCCGCCCCCTCTCCCTGCCCAGCACATTTCTCCTGCTCTTGGTCAGGGATTGGAAGGGGAACACTCAGGGGAGATGCGAATTCTTTCGTTTACAGTTCTTTCTTTGCTCTCTTTCTGGGGCCAAGCCTCTGTAGTATGATCAGAATCAAGAACAGAATTAATTCCGTGTCCTAATGACAGGAGCTTAGTCTCCCTTCCCAACCAAGAACATGTATGCTGGTGCCATAATGGGTAGATGGGGAAGAGCAATCATATTTCTTTTACCCCAAAGAAAATCCCTTAACTCTTTGATCTTTTCTGATTATAAAAGATGCTCATAGAATATTTTCAAAAAGAATATTTACAATCTATATGTGATGAAATACTGACAAAAGAAACAAGCATGAAATCCACAATGTACAACATCCATAATCCTACCACTCAAAGACCGTTAGCTGCTAGTATTTTGACACCTGTCTGTCCTAGTCGTGCTTTTTCACATGTGTGTGTTTACTAGAGAGACAGATAAGTCAATAAATAAATGGCCAGCTATGTGGGCCTATGTGTGTGTTCGCCGAGTGGTACGGGCTTTTAAGAAAACCTGAGAGAGGTTTCTTAAGTACAGAGTCACGATGCAGAGAGTCAAGTGCTGGTACAAGGGGAAAAAACTCATGTCTTAGAATCGACCTGGTGGGAGACAAGTAGATGCGGAAGCTCAGGGAGGCAGTCAGCGTCTGAGGCAGAGTACGAGACACGAAGGAGTTTCGCGACCCCGCTCCTAAGGCCCCACTATTACCATTATTTAGCCATGCTCCAATCTCATTAAAATAACAATAAGGGGTGCCCCCAAAGAAAGCCATTAGTCAAGAAAATGAGCCCTGTGGCGTCCTATTAGGAAGGAACCGGCAAGGCATTCTACGTGGACCAGAAGATTCTGGGAGATGCCTTTTGATTCATGTCTGAGATGAAAGAACTCGAACAGGAGACATCTGAAAAAGTTTTGTTTTCTCAGACCAGTGCACACGATGCCAGAGGGTACAGGGAACTCACAGATGGTAGAGGCAGGAATTAGTCCAAGCCGATATCAAAACTGGCATTTTAATTATGCTAGTTGGCCTGGTGAACGAGAATATAGAAGACTTTCTATTAAAAACAAATACATAAAATCAATCTCTTTGGCTGCCTTTTTTTCCACTCCCGCTCTAAACACACACACACACACGCCCACCCCAGATTGGGCGACCAACTGTCCCCGCATGCCCGGGACCCCCCACCCCTTGTTAACACTGAGGTCCCATATTCCCGTAACCACTCCCTTCCCCTGCCCCCGAGACCCAGGAACACGGAAAGAGCGGCTCATCTTCCCTCAGGATATCCCAGCAATGACCCCCTACTGCTTGCCACATTCAGGACCCCGTGGCATCCAGTTTTCAAGTTAGAGGACCACCAGCCCTTTCTGGAATACGCGTGCCCATCACGGACACAGGCTGAAGAATCCCTCTCTCCAGAGGTGCTTCAGACCCTGGCCCAGGCTCTGCTGCCCCTGCGGCTCACACCTCCGTGATCAGAAAGGTGAGCAAACCCCACGGAACCAGGTTTCCCGTAAATCACTCCGGCTGCTTTAGCCCCACGGCGCCAGCTTTAATGGAAGCCACTGGGAGGCTGCTCCATCTTGGGAAACAGCTGACCTCGCTTACTGGCGCCTTTACCCTGGGGAGCAATTCCTTCCCGCGTCCTGACTGCGGGTGCATATTAAGCAGGAAACCCCACCTTGGCGTGTTTATCTGTCTGGGGCGGGAGCAGGGAGCCTCAAGGATGGTCTCATTAGCCGGCGCACAGGGGTGGCGAGAATAGTTCATGAGAAATAAGACTCATTTTTATTTTTCTTCTGCACCCCAACTTCTGCCTTCATGCTCCGATGCAAAGTTCCCGTTGTAATGGACACGCTTGCTTCTAAATGCTGATGCTGGAAACGCCCAGGAGGCCTGGCAGGGGTGGGAAGGGGAATCCTGCAAAACCTAGTGTGTCCCTATTAGCTCTACAAACCTCGCCAACGGAAGAGCGTTTACATTTGCACCCAGTCCTACAGATGATCCTGTGGCCTGCAGAGGCTGGAGGTGAGACCTGGGATCAGATTTAATTCCACCAAGAGGAAGCCCAAGCTGGTGGCAGTCTCATCGCAGGGCCTCAGGGAGGAGGCAGCTAACAGAATATAAAATTAAGATAATGTGCAGCTGGTTTCCCAGATTAAAAAAAACCTGGACTTCCAAGCACAAATCAAAGCAAAAGGCATTTGGGAACAAAATTATTTCAGAACAAAAATGACTATTGACATCCTACCTGAATGAATTTGGTCCATAACTGATATACCCCATGGCTGCCGGGACCCTCTCTAATGGATAAGGCATGGCCTTCCTGGAGGAGGGGGCCCAGAATGCCTGCTATGATGCCAGGGACGGAGCAATGGAGGACGGGGACCGGGCACGTGGCTCCTCGAAAACACGAGAACCCAGAAGGACATCTGAAGCGCTGACTTCTCTCCTCTCGGCCACATTCCCAAGCCTGGACGGGGGCCACCTGCCTCTGCCTCCCCATGGTGGCCGCTGGGCCAAGAGCCGCTGGTCCTGTCCTCTGCTCCTTCCTGCTCTTCCTCTGAGCTCACCTTAGCAGCACACACTGGATGCAGAGAATTCATCACCAGCTGTGACAGCCCAAGCGAGCCTGGTGCTAAGAAACTCTCATTTGCAACCGAGAAATGTGCTGAGGTGCCACAAATGGCCTGATGTCAGCACCAAGTAGAGCTCGATCTGCGTACAGGCCAGATGCCATTACCAGAGATGCCCGGAGCATGGGGGAGGAGATGGGCGCGCTCCAGGCCCTCAGTCGCCTGGTCATGGTGGGGCCGCCCAGGAAGAAACACAAAGAAACACGGATGCACCCTCTCGCCCTCTCTAGGCGCACACACACACACACACACACACACGAGCATGCACAGGGACACACAAAAACACACACAACCACAACTGGTTGGGGGAGACATCAGCTCACCCAGTGGGGTCACGTCCTGGATCTGCCAGTTTTCCAGGAAGGTGGGAGAACGAGGTGTTCGTGATAGGCATACACTTCTCCCAAGATTGTACACGAACGTTTACCAAAAGATGCTCATGTGCAAAGCGATGCTGTTGGAAAGTCCCCTCAGGGACGAAATATTCAAAATTTCCCCGGGGGGTTTTACAGCAGTCAGCCGGTACATGCCCGGTCTGACACTCTCCAGTCCTATCTCCAACTGTCACCAGAGCCATCTTTGCAAACTGCAATCCTGATTTCCCTCTTTAACCTCCAACAGC